AATGGGAACTTGGCTTCCTAATTAAAACTGAATTTAAGACTGTTTTAAGACTGAATTCAAGACTCTGTGTAAAGACTCCAAGCTGTATTTATGTATTGCAGTCCACCTGCAGCTTGATCACCATTCCCCCTGCTAACATGTGGGAGAATGACAGTTGTGACTGGCTTGTTATTGTATTTGGTACTAGCTGTTCTGGAGGGAGAGACTAGCTGAGTTGGAATGCGGGCGGGCGGGTGGGGGGGGAGACGTATAATACAGTAAATATATAAATAATAACCTCTCACTGTGCCTTTTGCTGTCAATTAAAAATGATGTCAAAGAGATTATAATTTTTAATTGGCGAGTAAGCTTCCTTTTTTTCGGTGCCTGGTAAATTGGGTTTCAGACGAAACTGATAGATACTGTTATGAAATGTACGTTTTTTTTGCCCAGAGGCAGATACTCTGCTTCTGGGAAGTGTCCTACTTAACTTATCCACTGGCCTGGTGAGCTCCTGCAGTTAGAGCGATTGGTAGGAGAGATGAGTTGTGCTGATATTATATTAATGGCAGGGAAACCTATCTAGAGGTTAACACCATCCAGACTTGATATCATTTTCTTTTTCAGATGTTCTCTTCTCCTTTCCTGCTGATATTGTCTGGGGGCTGGGGGCTAGTGGGGGGGGGGGAGAGGGAGTAAGCTCTGACAGTAGTTGACTTCAAATTAACATGCCTGGTAACAGAAGGTAAGGATCGAGTCAACCCTCTGTGGTGCTTTGGGTTGTTCTGTTCCTGAGCCAGGCAGGTCTGCAGTTCTCCAGGACACTGCTGATACTCCACTGCCAGGTGTCAGCCTGGCTCAGCTCAGTTGATAGCACTCTCTCCTCTGAATCAGAAAATTCTGGGTTTGAGTCCCACATTGGGACATTGAACTCTCAGCCCTGACTTACATTCCAATGCAGTGTAGGAGGTGTACTGCATGGTTGCAGGTGCCAGGAGTCCACAAATCTGTGCGATTTTAACTTGGTTTCCTTCAGACATTGCTCTTGTTGGGGAACAATGAAATTTGGTTGTGGTGTTTGCCACAGTGAACAGTTATACAGATATTTACTGTCTGGATGCAAGTTCAATTGTGGTGAAAGTCACAACCAAATCTGATCCTGTCCTAGTCTGACAAGATCTAAGAGGGAGTTTAAAAGCAACTTATTTTTGCAGAATGTGGTGAGAATGTAGAACTCACTGCTAAAAGCTGTGCTTGAAACAGAAAACATCAATATATTTAGGAAGAAATTTGATGCATACATGAGGCAGAAGAGAGCAGAGAGGTATATGAAGGGAATTAAGAGAGGTGGAGGATTGTGTGGAGCATAAGCATGACACAGATAAGTGAGCCAAATGGCTTGTTTCCCTGCTGTAATGTTTTATGTAATTCTATGTAATGCCCATTCATGCTCTATTTCCAGCAGGTGTCACTGAGTGCATCCTGGCTTGGGAGGGGAAAATAATCAGTCCGGGTTCCTGATTTTGATCAATATCCAGCAATCCTTGTGGATATAATAATAATAATTATTATTGTCAATATCCAGCAATCCTTGTGGATATCTGGATGTGTTGGATGAAGACAGATTTAGGCTCAGCTATAATATCCCCTTCCCAAACGTCCCCGACAATCACTATTTCTGCTCATGCATAAGGAACAGGGGAGGAGGTGAGGGATGGGAGGGTGTTAGGCACGTTGGAATCATTTTTCAGCACGAGTCAGCACCTTTACCAAGGTAGCAACAAGAACACAAATGTATATGCAGTAGCACCATTCGAATAAAAGAAATGTCTGGAATGAGATTAAATTAGCAGTGAAGTGAGTGTTGTCATGTAGCCAAATTATGCCTGCAACCTCCTCTAAACTTATAAACAAATGGTCTTTACAAATGTGGAACTGGAGGGAAATAAATAAGAAATATGTCACAGTGACACACACTACTCACCATCACACAGCAGTGAATATGTTCTGAAATGGCCAAGGAAACACATTGCACAATTGGAATGATCTGTTCCTCTACTAACCCTTTGAATTCTGGTACATCTCCACATAACATATTGGTTGAACAAAGACGTTTTGCACTTTGGACTTTCCCAATTTTTAAAAATAAAGAACTTGTGTTTTTATAGCACATTTTTCACATTGAAATAATGTAAGACCCTTTAGCGTAATTACTGTCAATTGCGGCGGCTACTTTTTTTTAAACAGGCAAAAACGAATGTTTTTATGCTTAAAACCATTGTTTCAAAATGTACGGTTGGGTGGAAATTTGGAAAACAGTCTTAAATTCTGTTTTAATCAGGAAGCCAAATTTCCAGGTTTTTTTTGTATAGTTCTGCAGAAAACTAGCCTCCAAATTAAAACCGAACGAATTTTTCACACAATCTTCTCTTCTTCGCTTTTCCAAATAGTGTCCAGGGATTGTTTACGTCCACCTTAAGACATGCGGATGGGTCCCTGGTTTAATATGTCATCTCAGACAATGCAGTGCTCTTGTAGACTCTCAGCAGAGAAGACTCAGTTCAGATACTAATGTGGGGTTTGATCCCATAACCTTTTGATTGAGAGGTGAGAACACTCGCAACTAAGCCGAGATATAATAATAATTTGGTCATTCAATCCAACACTGTTTGTGGGACACCGCTGTGCGCAATTGCCTACTGCGTTTCGCCCAAAAAATACACAGTCAATTCACTTTACAGTATATTCCGTGAAGCGCTTGGAGACCAGTCGAAGACGCGATCAGGCGCCGCATCAAATGCAAGGATTATCGTCATCGACCATAAGGTCCGCCTTCGGAAATTAAAGACCAGGCACCGCAAAGAAAGAGGCAATGACTAAAAATGTTGGCGACGGTTTTAAGAATGTCGACGTCGTTTTACAAATCTTAGGAGGTATTGTGCCAACAAGTTATAATGTTGGGTTACAGGAGCGCTCGGGTTGCTGTTGCACACAAATGTTGTGCTTAACAACACTGCCCCACACTGCCCCTTCCGAGGCATGTCGTGTCCGCCTTCACGCACTTCACCAACTCCATCGCTTCGGAGACCCAAAAGAACACATAGATATAAATGACATTAAAATAAAAGTTTCTTCACTTCAGCAGATTGCTTTAAAGGAGCCACCACCTCCCCCCCTCCACCCCCCCTCCCCCCCCCCCCCCCCCCAACCACGACCCCCCACGAAACAAGAGTCAAGATCAGTTCTGACTGGAAAGGGGGAAAAAAAAACAACACCACACGTTTCTTTGGGGAGTTTCTTTTGCAAATAATGCGTGAAATTGACGAGAAAGTTAGTGGGTGTGGAGGCGGGAGGGGGTCCGGGGACCGGCGGCCGCAGCGCTGCGGCTCGTCCTGCGGAGGCGCAAGTGGTGCAAACGGGGGGTTAAACCCCCGGCTCTGTGGGTCAGTCCTTCGCCCCCTTTTCGGGGGGTGGGGTGGTGGGGGGGAGTCTGAGTGGAGTCGAGTCCTTTTGTTGTCCTCCCTTTCCCCCCCCATTTTGTTCGCTGTTTGGATCGCCCTCCTCTTGTTTTCCCGCTGTGTGTTCCCTCTGTGCCTTTCCCTTGTTTACTCGGGCAGCGGCGGTATCATTCCGCTGGTGAGGTCCTGGGAAAGAAGCGCCCCCTTTCTTTCTCTCTCTCTCTCTCTCTCTCACACACACTCACTCACTCACTCACTCTCTTCTCTTTTGCTCTCTTTTTTTTAAATGAAAAAAAAACCCGCACAACAACCCGCACAACCCGCCTCTGCGACTCCAACCTCCATGCAATGAGCCGCCAGGCAGCGGCGGCAGCAGCAGCCGACGCCGAGCACCAGCAGCGCCGCTTCCCACTGCCTTTCAGCCGCAAACTTGCCGGAGCCTCCCCGCACCCGCACCCGCAGCCGCAGCCGCACCCGCACCCGCACCCGCTGCCGCTGCCGCACCGACGGCTCCCGGACCCGCCACATCTGGATGGATGAAAGCGGCGGCTCTCCCCTCCCCGCACGGATCCCCGCTCCCGCCCGCCGCAACTCGGCAAGTTTCAGCCCGGACTGCCTCTGCTGAAGAGTTTTCGGGTCTCTCTCTCTCCTCTCTCTCTCTCTCTCTCCTCTCTCTCTCACACACACACACACAGAGAGAGGGAGTGAGTGTGTGTGTGTGTGTGAGTGAGTGAGTGAGAGTGTTGTGTGTTATAGTCTCTCTTTCCCTTGTGTTCTTTCCTCTCCATAACAACCCCCCCCCCCACACCCCCCCAAAAAATTCTCTCTCTCTCTCTCTCTCTCTCTGTGTGTGTGTGTGTTATCCTCCCAACTCTTTCTCCTCTCTTTCTCTGCCTCCGACACCCACTTTCCCCCTTTCCTTCTCCCCCCCCCAACCCCAACCCCAACCCCTCCTCACCCCCTCCCTCCCACTCCACCACACACACACACACACACACACTGATCGAGACGGAGTGGAGGATCGTGTGAGAGAGAGGAGAGAGGAGAGCAGAGAGAGAGAGAGAGAGAACGAACGAGTGAGAGTGAGAGAGAGTGAGTGAGAGAGAGAGATCCAACAGCCGAGAGAAGGGAGAGAGAAATTTTTTTAAAAAAGGAGAGGAGAAAGTACCGGTGGATATCGATGACTGTTTGAAGGAGTCGGAGGGTCACCGTCGTGATCGTTTGCAAAGACTATTTGATCCATAAGAGGAGAGAGAGAGAGCGAGAGAGTGAGTGAGTGAGCGAGCGAGAGAGAGAGAGAGAGAAAGAGAGTGTGAGAGAGAAAGAGAGAATGATTTTTTTTTAAATGGGCTTCGGAGCAAAACGTCGGGATGTACTGAGAAACGCCAAGTGATTTTTATTTGAATTCTTTTCTCTGTGAGTGTGTGAGTGAGAGTGTGAGTGAGTGAGTGAGAGTGTGAGAGGGGTAAAAATACTTGCAATCGATTGTGTGTGAACCCCCTCCCTCCTTCCCTCCCTCTCCTTCCCTCTCCCTCTCCCTCCCTCCCTCCCTCCATACCCACCAAAAAAAAAAACTTGTGAGGATCGTGTGTCCGGGGGGCGAGGATGGGGGATTACAACATGCCCCCAAACCCCAAGCACAGCGCGATCGTGGAGAGGCTGAGGCAGCGGATCGAGCTGTGCCGCCGGCACCACGCAGTGTGTCAGGTCCGCTACGAGCAGAACCAGCCGCAGCGCATCGAGCAGGAGAGGAGAGACAAGCTGGCCCTGCACCACAAGTACCTGGAAACCCGCAGCAAGAAACCTCCCAAAGCCAAACAGCAACAGCAGCAGCAGCAGCAACAACAACAACAGCAGCAGCAGCAACAGCAGCAACAACAACAACAACAACACGAGAGCAATCGGACCACCAAAAACTGCGACGGCGACCAGACGCCGGGAGCCAACGCCACCAGCGAGCACAGGAACCTGACCCTGATCGCCGTAAGTCCCTTCTCGCTCACTCACTCACTCACTCACTCTCTCACTCACTCTCTTACTCACTCACTCACTCTCTCATTCACTCACTCTCTCATTCACTCACTCATTCACTCACTCACTCACTCTCTCACTCACTCTCTCACTCACTCACTCACTCACTCACTCATTCACTCACTCACTCACTCACTCACTCACTCTCTCACTCACTCTCTCACTCTCTCTCTCACTCATTCACTCTCACTCATTCATTCACTCACTCACTCATTCACTCTCTCACTCACTCATTCACTCACTCTCTCACTCACTCACTCACTCACTCACTCGTTCAACTCACTTTGTCCTCCTTTTAAATCTCATCGCCGACACAGGCGACCACATTTCTTGCGGGGTCCCGCCAAGGCTTCGTTCGTTTCGTTGTTGCTTTTCGTCTTGATCCTGGTTTCCTTTTTTTGGGAGGGGGGGTTCCCCCCCCAAAAAAAAAATCAGAGAGAGATCAATTATTTATATATATATATGTTACTAGGGAGAAATAAATTGTAGTGTATAAATAAATTTTTATATATATATATATAAATGTAAAAGTGCATCAGACTTTGAAAAGTGCCTTGAAGTTTATTAGAGCTGCACTGCCCCCCCCCCACCCCCACCCCTTGTATCCAGATCACCTCTCAGTCAGTTTCACAAAATTCCAGTTCTGTCACTTCGAGCGATGGGTTTTAAGTTACATTCAGATAACAACTGTTATTGATTTGTGCAACACAGAAAGGGTAGTTTACAAGCTTTAGAAGTGTTAAAAATGGCCCCCAACTTTGCAAAACACAGCATTTTCCACAGGATCAAACCATGACCACTTTCCTTTAATTTATTTAAAGTTCCGCTCGTGTCACGAATGAATGGCTCCTTTTTTTAAGATTTTATGAGATAAGCCATGATATGAGCAAAGGGCTCAATCTTAAGGTAAGGGCTTTGGGTAAACTTCCCCCGACTCCACTGAGCCTGTGTCTCGCAGCAAGTAATGTCTTAATGCCCATCTTCCAGATATTCAACAAATAACTTGCACTTGTGTTATGTCAGAACTTGAGAACTGGATGATAAGATGTACCTTATTGATAGATCTGCTTGATAGTTCACATCCTCCCGGCGTGGAAGGCGCTTTACAAATGTAATTTTGTTGTTGTTAATAGTGACACATAAGGATGAGAATTGTTTGGTTCAAGTATGTTTGGTTATTTTGACAGAGGTTATGAATAACAATCGCTGGTGCTTTCCTTTGTGGAGGAAACAAATAGCACTCAGCAAATTCAAATCTGGCATTGGTGTTATGGAAGTGATGGGAGCTGGTAGGCTGTGGTTTCTGATGGGTGATAGACTGTTATCTGAACTGTTCTTGATCACAAAGGTGACTGCATCTCAACCTTAACTGTCTGTCACTGTGCGTGCGAAAAGGGTGTTTCTCAGTCAACCAAGACCTTTATATATTTTTTGGTTTGGTCAGCCGGGTGTCTGACATCCATGCATCCCACCTACACCTGGAAATCCCAGAGATAGATTGTTGGAATGGAATGTGCTCTCTCTCCCTGGAGGGACGCTTCCTGCTTACCCGATTCTGGAAAATATTAGGCTCAGGTTGGCAAGAGCCAAGGCTTGGAGACCCCAGATTGTGCATTGGGGGTAATACTGGAGTCAAACCAACTAAATCCACATAGTATGCCATTGATAATAATAATCCTTGTATTTGATACAGCACCTTAACACATCTTCGAGACATCTCAAAGCGCTTCACAGAATATACTGAAAAGTGAATTGATTATATATTTGTGGGAGAAATGCAGCAGCCAATTGCGCACAGATATTGCTGTCTGGCAAGCTTTTCCGCTGCTTGTCCAGCTAGGACCACCCTGATTGACTTTCTATACTGTCAGTTGGATTGTAGCATTACCTCAGGACTGCAACATTAAGATTGTTGATGCTGGTATGTTATTGTTTCCTCTTTCAGATATAGTTTTGTGCTAAAGGGAATTGTCATCAACTTATGCATGTGCCCCTATATATGTGTATGCCTGCATTCATCAGTTATAAGTTCTGAACCTGTATTTTAGTCCAGCAATTTTGGTGAGATAAACACTGAACTTGAAGAGATTTAAATATTATCATAACTGTGCGATTGAATTACAGCCTTAAAAGCACTGCCACCCATTTTTCATCATGCATCAGTTGTACAAAGTAGTTAAAACATCTATTTCTATGATTGTTTTACTCACATTTCTTTTTGCAAAGAAAATAATGCGGCACGAATGAGTCATGAAACAATAAGTTGGGGAAATCCAAAAATGCACAGGGAAAAAAGAATTTAAATGCAGTAGTTGTAGCGTTTCTATAGCTACATTGATCTGAAATGATTGCATTCAGTAGCCATTTATCTCATGGAGATAAGATGAACAGTTTACATAAGAAAGCCTTCGGTAAAAATTAGAACGAAAAGCAGGACATAGGGGAATCACTCACCTGCTATTCCAGTAACAAAGAGAAGACTGGAACAGACCTTCTTCAAGAAGGGAACTATTTGCTTTTCAATAATCTTCCCGTTCCATGAGAGGTGAACTGGTCACGTGCAGATGGGTCGACCTAGTTGAAAGGGTAATGAAGCTGAGATAAATGACATCCTCGGTCATTCAGTGTGTGTTTCATTCTGCTAGTGGAATGCCAGTAAACAAACTCTTCAGTGTAATATATAGTTACCATAACCTTTGTTGTGATAGCACTTGTATCATTTTGAATCCCTTTCAAGTTCACCTACAAGAAACATTGTTGCATGTTTAAATGGACAGCCTTTGCTTATTGCTTGAAAGGAAAGTATGGATTGATAGAAAGGGTAATGGCTAGGAGCTGTCTCTTCACCAACATTCACTAAATTAACATTCTTCCTCGCACTGGAGATAGGTCGGTAGCTACTCCAGGCAGTCAATGCCAATAAGTAACCTTTTAGCTGTGGGAAAATTGCCTCAATTGGCACACTGTGGGAAGAGGTTTTCATGCCAGAACTGGTTGCACCAGACCTTGTTGTGAGAATGTTTGTAAACAAAATAAAGTGTCTTTCCTTCTTATAAGATTAGGTGAAACTACATCTGAAACAGCAGTCGTTGCCTTTACAGTCTGGTTCTCACAATTGTGTGTGGCTTTATTACAATATTAAGGAAGTTCCAGTCAATTCATTTTTTAGTCGAAGAAAGTATCGTTCAAAAAAAATCCTGTACCATTCGGTTGTATTGACTGATTTTGAAACAGTCTTGAATTAGAATTGAAGTGCTCAATCGTACAAGGCATACAAAAGGCTGCTGTCTCTTTAAAGACATGTGGTGAGTTAGTTGATATCAGTTGGGGTGTTACAATTGGCATTAGTGACCCTGTGCAAGGAAGCAGACTCCTGCTCCTGATCGTGTCCCCTGCTGCAAAGTGCATGTGTGTGGATTTTGGGTGAGACTAGGATTGGGCTCATCTTTGGTGTGTCGTTTCCCCTCCCCTCCCCACTCCACCCGTCTGACCCTTGCTCTAAGCTCACAATTGTGTGAGAAAATACGGCACCATATGACTGTGGGTGCCTATGAGACCGTACCCGCATCGCCATAGGCAGAGGGAACATGTCCAGCAGACCTTTTTGTTGGTCAGAACCTTTGATTCAAAGTTTCCACATTTTCAAATTTCTAGTTTTTTTTTAAAAAAGGAACTGCATAATACTAAAAGTCATTACATTTTATTATGTCCTGAGAACTAGCATTTTGGTTTGATCCTACGATTCAAATCTTCCAAAGCAAGTGTGTATCAAAATAGGAACTCTAATGTAATCTGCAGTATTTTCCAAAATGGTAGGGGTTTGGTACTTAGTGTAATGTACTTACTTTGTAATTTCTTAGAATTAAATCGAAAATTTGGAAAAATGGTTTCTCCAAAGCCATTTTCAGAGTTTAGTGTGAGTGCTGCTTCCTTTTAGAGTGGTGCACAAATACAACAGCAACAACTTGCATTTATATAGGGCCCTTTGTGCGGGGTGATGTCTCAGAGCACCAAGTTCAAATTCATTGGTGCTCGAAGCAAAGCCAGTTAACATAAAAGTGAATAATGCCTTTGCTTCTTTGACAGTTTGTAAGATCACCCATTGCAAGCTAACTGAGGGGCTGAATCTCACAAAGACCTTTGTAGGAACATCTCTAAACTTTTTTTCTTGCTGCCCCAAAGCTTCAGATACACCTTCTCACACATTGTCCAAGCTGTGTTGAAGTCGAAACTTACTACTGTACACTGTCTCCTATCCTAACTCATTGTTTCTCTGGGAACCTGTAATTCTTTAACTCCTTCAATTATACCTCAGGCAGGGCGAAACCTTGGGCAAGTTTCCTTACTCCACACGCCTAATAATAATCCCTCCAAAAAACAAAAAAATAATAAATTGGTCATTTTCAATCCACGACTGTTTGTGGGACACTGCTGTGCGCAATTGCCTGCTGATTTTTGCCCACAAAATATACAGTCAATTCACTTTATAGCATATTCTGTGAAGCGCTTTGAGACTTCTAGAAGACGTGAAAAGCACTCTATAAAATGCAAGGATTATTATTATTATTCTTCATGCCAGTCTCATCTTAGCCTGTGAAACTATTTTGTATTAAAATGCAAGACCCTGCAGAAATATGAAATACTGTATGCTTAAATTCATTCTTAACTTAGAAAGCGTTTTTCTTCGTTTCCTAAAAAACGATGGCTTCCAAATGAAATTGTAATTTAATGCTTGCATTCGTATTAGTGTTTTATCATGTCATCGAGATGTTTGAAATGCGCTTATATACTGTAAAATGGTGTGACTGTGTGTGTTGTGGGCAATTAAGATTCAATTCAGGAATATTCCATAATTCTCTCTGATCTTAAATGTTAAGACAAAATGATTTTGCATAATAAGACTAGGTGGAATTTAAGGTCAACAGTCTACAGGCTTTGAAATCTCAAACTTC